TGCTATTTCAAACAACATTCTTTCAACTCCCCCCACCTCCCACCCCTGTCACCCAAACAGCCCTGCACCCAACCTCCTCCATTCCCCACTCCACAGCTTTATATCACTCAAACCCCACTCCCGCAAACATTTTAAAGATAGGGGCCCCCTTGTCCTCACTTACCAACCCACTAGCCTCCACATCCAACGTATCATTCTCAAACACTTCCACCAACTCCAATTAGACCCCACCACCCAGAACATTTTCCACTCCCCACCCCTCTCTACCTACTGCAAGGACCATTCCCTTCGCCACTCCTTAGTTCGCGCCACACCCCCTGCCCAACCCCCCCACCCCCCCTCCCCCCCACCCCCCCCACCCCCACCCCTGGTACCTTGCCCTGTAACCATAAAAAAATGCAACACCTGCCCATACACCACCTCCCTCACCTCCATCCAGGGCCCTAAACAGACTTTCCAGGTGAGACACAACTTCACCTGTATCTCCTCCAACCTAGTCTACTGCATCCAGTGGTCCAGACATAGTCTTCTCTACATCAGTGAGAGCAAACGTAGACTAGGTGACCATTTTGCCCAGCATCTTCGCCTGGCCTGAAACGGCCAGCCTAACCTTCCACTTCCAACATGTCTACCCCACTTCCTCCAGTGTCGCAGCGACTCGGAACGCAATTTGGAGGAACAACTCCTTATCTTCCGCCTGGGCACCCTACAGCCTGGAGGACTTAACATTGAGTTCTCTAATTTCAAATAATCTTCCCACCCATCCCTGGCTCCATTTTCAGCCCTGCCTCCTCGCTTCCATTCCACCTACCAACCCTCCCTTCCAGCTACCAACCAGATTCATTCCTCCCATTGACCAACCTACTGCCAGTAACCACCTATCACCACCATTCCACTAACCTTCCCCCCACCCTTTATCTGCAGCTCCCCCAACCCCCACATCCAGTCCTGAAGAAGAGTAATACCCAAAATGTTGTCTTCTCCCTTCCTCCAGATGATGCCTGGCTTGCTGTGTTCTTCCAGCTGGACCATCATTGCTAAACACTTCTTCCCTACCCTGACTTTGTTGATCACTCTGCTACTCACGCCCTCACCTGCCAACCTCAAAACCATCCCTACAGCCATGTAATTTCCTGAGAAAGTTGGAAAATCCAAAATCCAATAAAGGGAAAATGTACTGTGCAAAATTTCTCTCCAATCCCAAAAGAACATGAGAACATTATCCTTCAGATTATCAAAACCAAAACTAGGTTTATGTCATGCCCAGCTTTAATTGTTCCACCAGCGGTCGCTATGCAGTTTCATTGTCAAGGACCTAACTCTGGAATTCCTTTCCTAAATTTCTATAGATCTCTATACTTCTTTAGAGTATTCCCCAAAATCTGCCTTGTTGACTGAGCTTTTAATCATCTACTTGAACATCTCCCGATACAGCTCACTACCAAATTTTGTTTGGTAACAATTCTAAGAAGCACCTTTGGGTGTTTTACTATGTGAAAGGTGTTACATGAACACTTGTTGTTGTACTCATGTTTATACCATTATGCAAGATCACAAACTTTATCAAAGAATCTTAGCAATAATTTTAAAGTTTAGTAGACCAATAACACATTGAAATTTGGACAATTCAAACGTTAGTTGGCCTTAGGAAAGTACACATTCATTCAAAGTAGTATAGCACTGTAATAATTAACATATGCACTCCAGTTCATGTTTCTTTTGAACAGAAGAGCAGAAGAAATACAAGCAAAGGTAGGATGTTCATCCCGTAAGATTGCCCTGCCATTCTACAGAATCAGATTTGATATGGTACATTATACCAACAAAACAATTATAATCAAAATCTGTGTAAAATGTGACAATGCAACAAACACTCACCACAAAGTCTCAAAGAAATGCAACCAGATGGATCACCTGGCATCGACATAGGCACCGGAAAAGACAAAGGCAAAAACAGCCCTGTTGACTCTGCAGAGTCCTCCTCACTAACACCTGAGGGTTAGTGTCAAAATTGGGAGAGTTGTCTCACAGACGAGTCAAGCAACAGCCTGACACAGACATACTCACAGAATCATACCTTACAGACAATGTCCCAGACACCACCATCACCATCCCTGGATATGTCCTGTCCCACCGGCAGGACAGACCCAGCAGACATGGCAGCACAGTGGTGTACAGTTGGGTGGGTGTTGCTCTAGGTGTCCTCAACATTGACTCCGGACCCCATGAAGTCTCATGGCTTCAGATTAAACATGGACAAGGAAACGTCCTGCTGATTACCACATACCGTCCTCCCCCAGCTGATGAATCAGTACTCCTCCATGTTGGACAACACTTAGAGGAAGCACTGAGGATGGCAAGGGCACAAAATGTACTCTGGGTGGGGGATTTCAATGTCCACCACCAAGAGTGGCTCGGCAGCAGTACTGGGTCGGGTCCTAAAGGACATAGCTGCTAGACTGGGTCTGCGGCAGGTGGTGAGGGAACCAACAAGAGGGAAAAACATTCTTGACCTCATCCTTACCAATTTACCAGCTGCAGTTGCATATGTCCATTACAGTATCAGTAAGAATGGCCATCGCACTGTCCTTGTGGAGACGAAGTCCCGCCTTCACATTCAGAATAACCTCCATCATGTTGTGTGGCACTATCACCGTGCTAAATGGGACAGACTTCGCACAGATCTAGCAACTCAAGAATGGGTATCCATGAGGCGCTGTGGGCCATCAACAGCAGCAGAACTGTACTCCAGCACAATCTATAACCTCATGGCCCAGCATATCCCCCACTCAACCATTACCATCAAGACAGGGGATCAACCGGGGTTCAATGGAGAGTTCAGGAGGGCATGGCAGGAGCGGCACCAGGCATATCTGAAGATGAGGTATCAACCTGGTGAAGCCACCAAAGAGGACTACTTGCATGCCAAACAGCAAAAGCAGCAAGTGATAGGCAGAGTTAAGCAATCCCGCAACTAACAGATCAGATCTAAGCCCTGTAGTCCTGCCACATGGTGGACAATTAAACAACTCACCGGAGGTGGAGGCTCCACAAATATTCCCACCCTCAATGATGGAAGAGCCCAGCACATCAGTACAAAAGATAAGGCTGAAGCATTTGCAGCAGTCTTCAGCCAGAAGTGCTGAGTAGATGATCCATCTCGGCCTCGTCCAGATACCAGTCTTCAGCCAATTCGATTCATTCCACGGGGTAGCAAGAAATGGTTGGAGACATTGGATACCGCAAAGGCTACAGGCCCTGACAACGTTCCAGCAATAGTACCGAAGACTTGTGCCTTGGAACTTGCTGAACCCCTAGCCAAGCTGGTCCAGTACAGTTGCAACACTGGCATCTACCAGGCAATGTAGAAAATTGCCCAAGTATGTCCTGTACACAAAAAGCAGGACAAATCCAACTCGGCTAATTAGTGCCCCATCAGTCTACTCTCAATCATCAGTAAAGTGATGGAAGGTGTCGTCAACAGTGCTATCAAGCAGCACCTGATCAGCAATAACCTGCTCAGTGACACCCAGTTTGGGTTCCGCTAAGGCCACTCAGCTCCTGATCTCATTACAGCCTTGGTTCAAACAAAGACAAAAGAGCTGGATTCCAGAGGTCAGGTGACAGTGGCAACCCTTGACAGCAAGGCTGCATTTGACGGAGTGTGGCATCAAGCAACCCTAGCAAAACTGGATTCAATGGGTGTCATGGGGTAAACTCTCCAGTGGTTAGAGTCATATCTGCCACATAGGAAGATGGTCGTGGTTCTTGGAGGTCAATCATCTCAGCTCCAGGACATCACTGCAGGAGTTCTTCAGGTTAGTGTCCTCAGCCCAACCATCTTCAGCTGCTCCATCAATGACCTTCCCTCCATCATAAGGTCAGAAGTGGGGATGTTCACCAATGATTGCACAATGTTCAGCACCATCCGCAACTCCTCAGATACTGAAGCAGCCCGTATTCAAATGCAACAAGATCTGGGCAATATCCAGGCTTGGGGTGGCAAGTGGCAAGTGACATTTGCGACACACAAATGCCAGGCGATGACCATCATCAATGAGAGACAATCTAACCACCGTCCCTTGACATTCAATTGTGTTACCTTCGCTGAATCACCTATTATCAACATCCTGGGGATTATCATTGACCAGAAACTCAACTGGACTCACCACACAAACACAGTAGCTACAAGAGCAGGTCAGAAGCTAGGAATACTGCAGCGAGTAACTCACCTCCTGACTCCTCAAAGCCTCAAAGTCCACCAACTACAAGGCACAAATCAGGAGTGTGTTGGAATACTCCCCACTTGCCTGGATGAGTGCAGCTTCAACAACACTCAAGAAGCTTTACATCATCCAGGACAAAGCAGCCCACTTGATTGGCATTATATCCGCAAGTATCTGCTCCCTCCACCACCGACGCTCAATCACAGTAGTGTGTATGATCTACAAAATGCACTGCAGAAATTCACTAAAGATCCTCAGACAGCATCTTCCAAACCCGTGACCACTTCCATCTAGAAGGACAAGTGCAGCAGACATATGGAAACACCACAACCTCCAAGTTCCCCTCCAAGCCACTCACCATCCTGACTTGGAAATATATCATCGTTCATTCACTGTTGCTGGGTCAAAATCCTGGAATTCCCTCCCTAATGGCATTGTGGGTCAACCTACAGCTGGTGGACTGCAGCGGTTCAAGAAGGCAGCTCACCACCACCTTCTCAAGGGCAACTAGGAATGGGCAAGAAATGCTGGCCAGCCAGCGACAAAGCTAAACACTCAAAAATGTTTTAAAAATCCAAAATTAGCAGATGACTTCAATTTGCATATAATTTTCTTTTTCAATATTATAACTTCACATTAAAGGTTGTTACTAAAGTGCTCATACTTAAAAAATAGACACACAATTAAATAATTTCAGATGCCATGTATGAAACAAATGTAGATCTGAAAATTACAATATTTGCTCTGTTATTGGAAGACTTGGCCATTTATTACCTTGATTTTGCTTCAGTGGAATATAGAAAACAGTCTCTTTGTTAGAGCATTGTAGCAGGTCTGAAGGACATTGATGGTGCGTGACCTGTTCATTATCTGAACAAATGAAGATTTGAGATTAAAAAGCTTTTACGATTCACCGTCATGTCAAAGAAAAGAATCAATGACACTAATGTATTTTCTTCCCTCATATCACATCAAAATGAGCAGAAAATTAGCATACAGTGGAACATTTTACAATGAAAGTCAGAATTCTAGACAGAACCCTTTATTTAGAAAGAAAAGAAAACTAGTTATTCGACAATCTTCCAAACACTTAGTACACAAAGATGTGAGATATTTGGTCCAATTGAAAACACACGCGCAAACCATTTTTCAATGATTGAATATGAATATAGCATAAGCATTTCTGCAATATTGTCAATTTAAAAACAGAAATGGCTATTTTTCAAATATGCTTCTGTACAAATGATTTTTTTTTTGTATTTCTAAATTAGGTATTCCAACTGGGGTCAATTTGGGACCCCTTCCACCCTCCACTCCTTGCCATTGTTGCAATTTTGAGAGTCGGACCTGTCTTTGGGCAGAGAACTGAAAAAGATGATTCAGAATGAAGTGTACTCAGTCCTATGTGCAATTTTGATAGTCATTCTTTCTTCTTACCAAGGATTTTCAAATTGTCTATTATTGTTATAACTGAACATCAGCACATTTAAATATCCTATTTATGAGAGATTTCTGTCAGCAATTTTCTTTATGTGCAACCTCTTCTGAAGTCATTAGCAACATATCACAGCAGCATCCCACAGGCATAACCTACCTTTCAGTACCTCGCAATTATATAATTGGAACAAAGGGCTAGATTTTCCCATTTGTAATTGATGCATGGGGGCAAGTGAGTTTTGTGACATTTAGTCCATCATGGCTTGGGAAAAACATTCTCACACAATTTTCTGCTTTTGACCTCATTATTTATGCCACTGAGATGCGAAACACATTTCTCAAGGAACATCATGGTGAATGAGACAAAAATGCTTGTCACCAGCGAAACCTTCCAGCCCTCTGTCACCCTTTTTAAATCCCAGTTGCACGCCACAAACCCTGCACACACTGGTGCTCGAGCTTGAAATATTTTAGGAGAAAAACCAAGCTTGATCCAAGCTTCCAGGGCAAAGGTTGGAGGTGTTGGTGTATGGGATGGCAGAGAGGGGTAGCTGCCCTGTTCCTTGCTGGTCACCAAAGGAGCCAAGTTGACTGACACAGCCAGTCTTGACAGAAATTGCAGGACAAGTCAGTTCTACATCCTAAATAAAAAGGGATGCCTAGCAGTGCAAGACGGTCAATGACCTTCTGCTCTCCACAGGATAAGTGCCACCATCTACTCTCAGGTACTTCACACGCACAGCCCTGACTCTAACCCCACCACCTACTGAAGATCCTTTGCAGATTTATGTCATCATTGTGTCAAGCTCTCCCACCTATTTTTGTATCATCAACAGATTTAGAAACATTAAACTGTGTTTCCTCCTCCACGTCATTGATATAGATAGTAAATAGCTTTTTCTTGGGTGGAGGTAGCTATTGCGAGGGGGCATAGTTTTAAAGTGAGTGGAGGTAGATATAGGGGAGACATCAGAGGTAGGTTCTTTACTCAGAGAGTGGTAGGGGTGGAATGCATTGCCGGAGAGGGTAGTGGAGTCGGCCTCATTCGGGGCATTTAAGCGGCAATTAGATAGGCATATGGATGATAGTATAAGGTAGGGGTGGAGGTTCAATAGATCTTAGGTTTAGGGTAAAAGTTTGGCCCAACATCGTGGGCCAAAGGGCCTGTACTGTGCTGTAATGTTCTATGTTCTATGTTCTAAATAATTGAGGCTCTGTGACTGATCTATATATCCCATTCTCTGTGTCATAAATACCCACAGTCCACTCGCCTTCCTAATCACTTGCTGTACTTGCATACTAATTCTTTGTGATTCGTGCACCACGGCAGCCAGATCCCACTGTACCACCCAATGTAGGCATCAAGGCCCTAATAACGTGTGCATGCCTGTATTATCCTGCTGATGTGTTCACAGATGATTTGCACACCATGGAGTAGAAGATTCCAATTCATGAAGATTGCTGGTTGCGAATAGAGCAAGCCGATTGCTAAGTGAGTGCAATTGATTTCAAACTGTCCTTGTGGAAATCCTTCAATGACAGCAAAGCCCAATGTACTAAGCCCCAGCATCTAAGAAGCAATTAATAAACTGGTGAATCTTCGAAAACAGAAGATGCAAATTTCCCCTCCCTTAAGTTGGCAGGGGAGATGGTGACAATGACAAATAATTAGACAAGTTGGCCCTGGAGAAATACTTTCCCCCCTCTCACCACCTCAGCAGTTAAGTCCTCAGTGAGAAGGTCCATTCGGGTCCCAATTACCTGGCTTCCAGGTCACAAATCTACCATTCACCCCAAGAGCCCCTTAAGTGATTACTTAAAAGAAAAACATAGAATTACAGAACAGTACAGCACAGAATCAGGCCCTTTGGCCCACCATGTCTCTGCCGACCATGATACTACTCTAACCTAATCACACCTGTCTGCACATTGTCTGCATCCCATCTATTCACTGCCTCTTCATGTGTCTGTCTAAATGCCTCTTAAACTTTGCTAATGTATCTGCTTCTACCGCCTCCCTTGGCGGTGTGTTCCAGGCACCTACTACCCTCTGTGTAAAATAAACTTTCCTCATACATCTCCTTTAAACTTACCCCCTCTCAATTTTTACCTATGGCCCCTAGTATTTGATTTTTCTGTGCTGGGAAAGAGATTCCTATCTTTGCCTCCCCTCAGGTCACCCCTCAGCCTCCAATGCTCGAGGGAAAACGTACCAGTTTGTCTAACCTCGCCTTATAAATAATCCACTCCAATCTATGCAACATCCTGGTAAACCTATTCTGCACCCTCTCCAAAATGTCCTCATCCTTCCTTTCATGCAACAACTAGCACTGCACGCTGCGCTCCAAATGTGGACTGACCAAAGCCTGATAAAGTTGCAGCATAACTTGCCAACTTTTATGATTAGTGCCCTGACCAATGAAGGCAAAAATGCCATACACCTTACCCGCTTGAGAGTGTGGTGGGATTTGAGCCTACAATTTGATAGAGACTGAAGCTTAAACCTAGCACCTTCAACCACTCAGCCAGACTACCAGTGCTGTTCAGATATAAGCTGTACCCTCTCCCTTGTTTGTTCTGTACTTTTTGCACTTGGCAATGGCCCAGGGAGACAGCATACCTTGGTCTCCTTGGACCTGTCGCTGTACTTGGAGAAGTGATAATACAAGTGACTATAATCATTGTATAAAGCCATACATACCCCAAGACAGAGAAAGGAAAGAGTGCCACTCACCAGGTACCTGCCTATTTTATGCGGTTGGCTTTCTGAAGCACTGCATTGCTTGATTGGGATTGAAGTTATTTGGAAAGGTGAAGTTAATTCAAGCAATTTATGGTATTACGGAGATGAAAATGCACACAGCTTGGCCTCTCGTAGCCTGCAGGCAACAGACATGACCAGTAACCATAAGGGGCGGAACTGAATTGTTGAAGTTTATCAGAGTAACAATGTATGATCTCAGGAAGTTCTGAGGAAGGGTCACCAGACCCGAAATGTTACTCTGATTTTTCTTCACAGATGCCACCAGACCGGATGAGCTTTACCAGCAACTTCTGTTTTTGTTCCTGATTTACAGCATCAACGGCCATTCTTTAGGTTTTTAACAGTGCTAGCTGGGTCGTTTGACTTATTCAAGGCTGAGTTAGAGAGATCTTTGGCAGGTAAGGGAGTCAAGAGTTGTGGGGTTAGATAAGAAACTGGGATTAGAGCACAAGCAGATCAGGGATATGCAGCGTGCTCCCAAGTACTACATTCCTCAGGAACTTTGCAGGTAAGTAATGTAAAACTTTCTAAATTCTTCAATTGTAACACAGAAATTCAAGGAGAAGGTCTTGGGGAGAAGGGAATTGCTGACTGAAGTTCAAATTTGCTGGGTAACCCTCTCCCCCACAAATGTGTTCATGCATCAGGACCTCCAAATGATCCGATATGTACCTTTGGTTGATGATCTGGAGACTAGAAGACATGGCCTAAAATTATTAACCTATTTGAAAAAAAAATTAAAGTATTTAAGAGCGTGAAATATTTAATATTTAGCTCTAGCATGTTTGGCAAGCTCACATATCTTAAAAATGTGCTCAGCTATTAGTTTTAGGCTAAAAGCATTAGAAAATTACCTTAACATCAAAGAACATTCAATTTAATAAAACAAACAATGCTCTAAATTGAGGTCATCACCTGTCATCACAACATCCACCAGAAGGAACTCATTTGTTGGGTTCTCAAAGGGCACAATAACTGACGCATGAGAGTTGACACATGCACTGACACTGACAGGGTCCATCTGCTGGGGAAGCAAGCCTACTCCTGACAGATGAAATGTCCACTCTTCGAACTGTTGAAAAAGTGCAAGACTGTTAGCCACATAAGACACACACAAATATTTATCTCAGTAATAACAGTTCACTGACTTAGAGCAAAAGTTTCAAGCCATGTGTAATTTGTGATTCATAATGCTCAAAAGGAAGCAGATTGGAAGCTCCAAACTTCCTTTTTTAAATAAGTCATGTTAGCAATTGGCCAATGAAATGAAAGAAATCCGCACAGAGAACTAAATTAGACTTTGTTTCCTCTTTCATTAAAATTAACAAGTTAAGATGTTCATTGTCTGAACGATTTGGGTAAATTTTCCTGTCGAGTATGGGCACTGAGGAAAGCCACTTGACTGCATTTCAATTCCACACGCATTCTACATGGGTGGACAGAATAAGTGTGGGTACGAATCCAATGCACTTATCATATTTGCTTGGTGTCAGCTGTGGTTCAAGTGCCTCAGAATCTGGAGATTGTGGATTTAAGTCCCACTCTGGTGACAAGAAAAAATTTTAACCTGACACTCCACTGCAGTACCACAGGAGTTCAGACACTTGGAGGTAACATCTGTTGGATGAGATGTTAAGCCAAGACCTCATTTACTTTCTTTGATGAACATACAAGGTCCCATGACAATATTTTGAAAATAAAGAAAAAGAGACGTGTCCTTGGTCTCTTGAGCAATGTTAAACCATCTATTGACACCACTAAAACACAATACCTAGTCATTATCACCTTTCTGCTTGTCAGAGCCTACTGTGCACAAAATTGCAGTTGCATTCCTTATATTACAAGTTCATAATAACACTGACAAGCATCACATCAAAATCTGAAACTGGAAGGGCATTAGTGGGCTACGAAACACTATTATGGATGTTACTGGCTCTTCAAAGAAGGCTAACCAGTCTGCTTCCTTAAGGTCCACTTCAATGTATGCCAGAAGGTGAGACATGATCCCAGCTTTCTTCAATTCTATCAAAGAAACACTATAGGAAGCTATATTCTTTGGGACACGTAGGTGAGAGTTGCCTCTAAACTAAGCCATCAATGATCAAAATACATGGGGCATGAGCAGATCCAACTCCAAAAGTCCCCAGAGGAAAGGGTAAGGAGTCAGATCTCCAATCACAGGCTGGACCATAACTAAATGCAGAAGAGAAACCATGTAACTTGGGCAGGAAGTGAGGTCCCTTTGACAACAAGGTCCTGGGTGCTGGCAAGGATGATGTCCAGGAGCGAGGAATGGCCTTTGTGCCAACGTCATGTGGGGTGATGCAGTGTTGCATTTTGTCCCTTCAACGGCCTTTTTTTTAACAAAGATTGTAAGGAAAGAGAAGATGGAGGTGGCTACAGGGTCTGCAATAAGATGGAACCCCAAAAGGGGATTGGTGGGAACACATGGTGGAGCCACAAGGGATCTGTGGGAACACAAGAAGACTGAAAAGGAACTTGGGGGAACAATGGGGCAGGGAGATAGTAAGAACTGCCGATGCTGGAGTCTGAGATAACAAGGTGTGGAGCTAGAGGACCACAGCAGGTCAGGCAGCATCAGAGGAGCAGGAAAGCTGACATTTCAGGTTGGGACCCTTCTTCAGAAATGGGGGAGGGGAAAGGGGCTCTTAAATAAATAGGGAGGGGGGGGTTGGGCTGGGAAAGGTAGGTGGGATGGTGATAGCAGGTAGGTAATGGTGGGGATTGGTCAGTGAGGTGGGAGGAACTGATAGGTGGGAGAGAAGGCGGACAGGTCAAGGAGGCGGGAATGAGAGGGAGGGTTGGTCTTGGGATGAGGTTGGGGATGGGGAGATTTTGAAGCTAGTAAAGTCCACATTGAGACCATTGGGTTGTCAGCTTCCAAGGCGGAATATGAGATGCTGCTCTTCCAGTTTCCGGGTAGCGTCGTTGTGACACTGGAGGAGGCCCAGGGTGGACACGTCATCCAGGGAGTGGGAGGGGGAGTTGAAGTGGTTCGCGACTGGGAGGTGTTGTCATTTGTCGCGAACCGAGTGTAGGTGCTCTACAAAACGGTCTCCGAGCCTCTGCTTGGTCTCACCGATGTAGAGGAGGCCACATCAGGAACAGCGGATACAATAGACCACATTAGCGGATGTGCAGGTGAACATCTGTCTGATGTGGAAGGTTTTTTTGGGGCCTAGGATGGAGGTGAGGGGGGAGGTGTAGGGGCAGGTGTAGCACCTCCTGCGGTTGCAGGGAAAGGTGACGGTGGTGTTGAGACTAGTGGGGAGTGTGGAGCGGACGAGGGAGTCGTGGAGACAGTGGTCCCTCCGGAAGGCAGATAAGGGTGGGGAAGGCAGGGAGACTGTGGGACCACAAGGGAACTAGCATGGAACATCAAGTTGGCACAAGTGATCTTTGGGGACACAGGGAGACAACAATGGGGCAGGAGAAAGACATGAAAAGTACAAGGGGCTCTGGGGAGATGGATAGTGTGGCAAGCAGGCACAGCTGAGATAACACAACCGTAGAAGGGGTCAAACAGGGAGAGTCATGAATAAACCTGGTGTGAGATGGGAAGACTTCAGCAGGCTGAGGGAGGGGGAGATAGGGAAGCTGTAATAGGGTGGGATGAGGTAGGAAGGTGGCAAAGGGGACTGGGAGGAAATGAGGAGGTAACCAAGGGGCTGGGAAAGAAATGATGGGGGGTGTAGGGACGAGGCTACATAGGGGCTGGGAGAAAGGGAAGATAAAAGGGAAGTTGAAGAGAAAGAGGATTTCTGCAGAAGGTCTCAGGTAGAGGAGGACTCAAAAGGAGATCAGATACAGAAGGAGGCTTCTTGGTGTGGGATGCAGGCTTTGAGGAAGGGAAAGAAGTGGCAAAGGAACACTCAGCTAACTAGGAAAATATGAAATCACTGAGGCAATGAATGATTGGCAATTGAATGTGTTATCTCTCGCCTAAGGCTAGAGAACGACTGTATGAGGAAGGTTGTAGTAAATATTATTGTAATGAACAACGTTGTTAAATTTAAATACGAGATTGAGATCTGAGATACAGTAAAAAGGGTCGTAATTGCCTGTTTAACATATTCCAACCTTGTGACTATGTAATGGAGATATATTGGTTGTGACCTTACCAGTTCTATAGAAGGTATTTTCAAGGTGGTTCAATTTTTTTATACAGAAGAATTTCAGTTATTTTGAAAGAACATTTTGGTAACTTATGCCTCTTATGTCAATTTAAATTTGGTGATCTTCAGGAAATTAACATTTTACTTGTATCTTGTGGCTTTAGGCTTAGGTGGATAAATTGAGAATATTGATTAATTCTTCTAATTCTGTTTTGGCTGAATCCAAATGCTGTACGTGCCAACACAAATACAGAAGATAATGTTATACGTGATCCCTAATAAAGGAGTGGTAAGGATAATTTTATTCTCACATGAGATTTAAGTAGTTTAGGCAAGGCCAGTATTTGTTGCAAATTCTTAGTTCCCTTGAACTGAGTGACTCTCTAGGCCATTTCAGAGGGCAGTTAAGAGTCAACCACATTTCTGTTGATCTGGAGTCACATGTAAGCCAGACCAGGTTGGGACAGCAGAATTTCCTTCCTGAAAAGTTATGAGTGAACCAAATAGGTTTTACAGCAATAACAGTAGTTATAACAGTTGCCATTAGATTTTTTTTTTTCTGAAAATGTAATGCCTAGAAACCAAAACACAGCCGTCAAGGGGAACATTTAAAAAAAAGTGTCCTGGCAACCCGCAGTGTTCCAGAAGCACCACAAGGAACTTGAGCAAATGAAGTGCTGACGCTGATAGCAGACACAAAGTTCCTTAATTCTGGATTAGGGAAATGAAATTTTGCTGCATTTTAGTGAACACAGTTCTTCAGAATAATATGACTTCATGGTCTGGCAATCTGACTTTACTTCTGTCCATGTTTGCAACCTGTGTGAGTTGCATTATGTTCAGAGAACATGGGTGGTTTGCTGTGATAAGATAAACAGAAATTTATGAGAGGGATGAAGGAAAAAGGACTTAATTTCATACATAGCAGGATACAGTGTTTTGCAGGACTTACTAGATTCATATGGAAGCCAGCAATTTTAAACTGCATATCAAGTTAGAGGGCCTATTCTGAAACTTTCCAGAGGCTCTAAAACACCTACCATATGAAGGAACAAAATTGGATATAATATTCTAGATGAGGCTTAACTGAGGTCTTGAGTAAGGACATCACAGTGCTTTTTTGGATTTACTGGGTCATATAAGTATTATAGACAAATATAGCATAAAACTGAGAATTTCACGCTTGGTGAGTCAGGAAACATTTGTTGAGAAAGGCACGGTTAACGCTGCAAATCGATGACACTTATTTGCAACATTCCCTATTATTCTGATTTCCAACAGCTTTTCTGCAGTATTTTTGTTTTTCTTTTTATCCGAATGCTACGTGTGTTTTTGCTGCATCCTCACAGCATTAAACATGAACCTTTTGAGGCTCATCCTGTATAACACATAGATCTCTCTTCCTTTCAGTTTTCCCTAACCCTTCATCCAATCACTAATTATAGATGATGATGAGAAATGAATGTACATACCTGAGGACACTTAAAGATAATAGTTGCACAATGATTGATTTTTCCCAGGGTTGACGGAGCGAATTGAAAAGGTACTTCAAGCGTAGACTGAGAATTCACAACTAACTGTAAACAGGAAGGAATCAAAACATAAAATCAATACTGAGCTTTATGGTCTAGTTCCTTCAATGTGCTACGCCTACGTATGGACATTATTATGTAATTAGTGGAGGCTGATATTTAAGTTCTTTGTGGTCAGTCAGCAGAGAAGATCTGTTAGCACCAAAAGCATGAGAATTTTTGCACAGAATCTCAATTTAGAAATGCATTTGGTTTATTATTTTGGAAACCTGAATCTTCCACAGGTGAACGGTATGCAAGGCCACAGGGAGATAAACCAAGACTTGACATGGTTGAGCCATGAATTTCTTTCAGAGGCTTTGTGGAAAATATTTTGCATCATTTTTTTAATATCTGTGCTAAATCTTCTTAAAGTATTCATCAAATCAAGTTCAGCTCGTTCATGAGTAAGTTAAATTGGACCACATATGGTGGTATCATCTTCCTGGAATATTTTTAAGCTTTACAGATACAATGTGATAATTCACAACAGATGGCATTTGAGAAAGAAACATATTCTACAATGATGTCATAGTGCTCTGTGTCTTCTGGTACATTTATGCATTTATTGCATGCACATTCAGCCATTCCAACCACTGAAGGAAAAATTCTGCAGCTTCATGATTTGATTGCAAATAGTCATGTAGGTGGGCAGGATAAGACATATGATCACACAGACAACTTGAAATTCATGCCAATGCTTGTGTGCTGTTTATAGCCTCCACATCTGTTTGGAAAATGTGAAAACATGGGCGCTACTTAGACCTTTAAAGATAACCTGTTTCCTGCTTGTCCAGCATTCTTTGCAGTATTGTAGGGATCATGGCCTCTTTCTGAACATTTGAGTGAAAGACAGGGACAAGCTTAGCTTTTAATATCAAGGGCAACCAATACATGATTTCAGGTAGCTAATAGCTTCACACTTCATGATACATGAAATGTAGGGTTAGATAGTGGAGTGAAAACAAAAGAAAAAAAGACGCAAGGAACTCCTCCAGTTTCTGGTCAACCTCAGAAAAGATTTGTTCTCACCCTTTAAGAGTGGAATCACATTCTGATTGCAGCAGAAGTTATCTCAACAAAAAATAGATGAGAAGCTGGAGATTTAACTGATGCAGCTTTTCAAACCCTTCAGCAAGCAGTCAACAGAAGGAAGGAGATATTTATCCCATTCAAAGGATAGAAAGCCTCCCATCCAACACCTCCAAAGACAATGGGAACATGTAGCTAAAGAGATAATTGGCAGAGCCCAGCTCCAAACTTGTCACTTTGTGACATTCCAGGTAAGAATCCCAGAACTTACTCCTTGGAAATATTTGCACCACCTGCACCATCACAATTCAAATATCTTCTTCTCAATTCTCTTCATGCTTTGACAATCACATTCCCTGGCCTCTTTTCCCTCTGATGCACAATCTGTATTTCATCACTATTGGAATCTTTTTAAACCTCCAAATCTTGCACGTAACAATAACACTTTCCAAGGACAAGGATTTTGAAGCTGAAGCATCTCTGGGCAGGATACAAAGTAAGTCAACAAGCACTGAGGTGAATGGGATTGTTGGCAATTGCTAGAGGCAGCAGAATTTTCAATCAGCTCAACTGACAGAAGTTGCAGCTCAGAGATTGGCCAGCAGAGCTTTTATAAAGCCAAGTCCAGCGATAACAAAAGCAGAAATGAGAAATTAACCAGAAGATGAACTGAAGCAAACGCAGAGGTGCAAGTAAGAGATCTTGGTGCTGGTGGGACAAGTGGAAGCTGATCAAGTATGACACCGAGATTGTAAACAGACTGCTTCAGCCTCAGACAGTGGCCAGAAAGAGAGAGAGATAGACACAAGGGCATAAGACAAAAATGATAGTGTGGAAGCTTTGATTTATCCAATATCTAGTTGGAGGACATTTCTATTTATTGACTACTGGATGTCAAAAATCCATCTTTAGCGTAATGGCATTAAGTTACTTTTCTGTAAAATGCATAATCCTAAACAAAGAACAGGTGCTCTTATTATGAGAGCACTTCTTATTGATACTCACTCTTTTTCTAGGATCAATCTCTACTGAGAAAGCTCCTGGGTTACTGTTAATTACTTCCAATTTCAGAGTCTCAATCGTAGAATTAGCCAGAGGGATCACCTGCCAAATCCGTCTGCACAAAATATTAGGACACAGGCACAGTTAATTCATAGGAATAATCATTTTGTGTCCATCAAGAAGTAGCTGATATTTTAAACACATCAATAAATAATTCATCCTGTATTCAAGTTTTAGCAGCATCTCCACATGATGCACAAAGTATTAACTCAAAACATTGAAATAATACCCAAAATGTCATTAAATAATGGACTGAGATGCAAAAACGTAATTTCAAATTAAAGCATTAATTTTGTTTTGAAAAAGAGTAGCATTTCGTCAGTTCTCTTTCAGTATCTATTTTGTGCGGGTGCACTTGTGTTGTTGCGAGATATTTTGACATAACACAAATGTTCAGCTGTCCTTTGGAATTATACAGGGATAAGTGGCAAATTCCCAACATGCTTTTCCCATTATGCTTTTTAAATTAACCTTATCTTAAATTGAAAACAGATGCAAAATCATCTACCAAAATAAAATTGCTGAACAAAAAAAGCATCAATATTTTCATCTTGCACTCATCATTTGTCAAGGTATCGCCATGGAGATTGTACATCCATTCTCCATACATTCTTCATGGTGATATCTTGGCCAATCAAATCAACTTTCCAACCAACAACACACTTTCTCACACAGTACAAGTTATTGCTCCCATCAAAATTTGGGATTTTTGCATCTGTCCTGATGGTAAACTTCAACAGCAAGTCTCAGTAATACTCAAGTGAAGTTCCCACCAAACAGTTTCCACTGTGGAGGAAGGGGATCAGACAAAAGACTAATTAGGATGCAAGACTTTTTGTCCCTCACCAAGCTATTACCTACTTATTGCTGTCTCCTAAGATACTATTGAGTTGCAATTTCATTCCTACTTGATTCACTTTACTATTTCAATCGAAATGCTCAATAATCAATTATAACCCCTTACAGCAAATTGCTTATTTAATTGCAGAGACATCACAGCAGAATCCATTAGAAGCAGAAGATTTGGTTTATTTTCCCTCTCTCACCTTACACATGAACTGAGGATTGGTTTGGGGCCTTTGTGATCCGTACAGCTCAGTAAACCCATTGGAGCATTCTGCTGATAATAACTTCATTGGGGAAATTTAACTCATTGTACTCAAAAGCCAAACTGATTGGCCACATTTCAGATTTGCTGATGAGATTGTATAAATAACTTTAGAAATTCACTTTCACTTCTGATCAAAGGTTGTCCCGGTCTCTGGAACACCGGAGACAAGATTGGCCCAAAACCCACTGATCTCCATAGCAAACGCATGGAAAGTTTGAACTTTTGACAAGCAATTAATTTACACTCCAGGACATTGTGTAAAGTTCTGACCCTAAGCTACAGTCAGGGATTTCAGACTGTTCTGCAGTACTCACCTGAAAATGCTGGACAGATTAAAACCTCAGCTATCACCTGAGTAACTGCACCCTATTGACATCCCAGGTAACCCAATATCCCTGTGTAACCTAACTTTACTGCTCCCCTCCCCCCAACAAGCCGACCCTCCCAACCATGCTAACCTCTGATGACCTCTCTACCACATCGCCAGCTGACTTCCCCTCCCAAACCAACTACCCACTCAACTTGACCCAACTACCTGACCATCCCCGACCCAATCTGATGAGCTTGTGAACTGACCACGCCTCACAACCTGACCTGACCATCCCTGACCACTCATCCACCTGAACAACCTGGCACCCCACTTACCCATTTGTCCGCTTTACCAAATTTTTCATTCACCCACTCGCTAACATTCAAACTGGACCTTTAAAATTACCCAGTGCTATAAGGGGTATGTCCAGTCCTCCCATTGATCTATAGCATCGTAATGAAGCTTTTGTTTGGACATTGTGATGAGCAGTTCTGGAGAATCAGCTATCAGAAGACCCAGCAGGAAATGCAGAGCAGCACTGGGACATTTTAATGGTTTGAACACACAGTCACAAATCTGTGTGGAAGATCCAGGACAATATAATCTTCTGACTATCAAACAGGCCAGTTAGTTCATGTACAAATATCTGTTGTACCTCGAGTTGTCTGAGTGAGCTGTTGTAACTGTGGCGAAAATCTCACCTATATTTATCCAGTCTTTCTCCCAATCTTTCAAAGTTACAGTGTCTTAATCTCAAGGAAATTCCACATAAGAATATTCATAGATGAACTTTGCGAGGCAGCCTTACTTCAGGGTAGCAAGTTGTGGAAAGCTAATGCAGTCAAATTTCATTAACACCAGTTCAATTCCACAAATAATCCTTTCCTAATTTTAACTGAACTTTGTTGGTCTTTATCTTCAGATTAAATGGAGTAAAATCACAGAGGTAAGATCTCAGACCTAAATCTCAGTGGCTTCTGGTCAGTGAGAAAGTGATCAAGTTCACTGCTCAAGACCTAGTGACCTCTCTGGCATACGGTTCCCTTACGCAATATCATTATGAATCTGGAAACCAAGTTGAGGGAATGTCCAGGCATCCAGCACTGTCATCAAGCAGTATAAACAGCCAGTCATATTTACATACTTGTTCAGACAATAACTCAGGAAATAAAGAAAAGGAAAGTAATCTTTTTAGATTTAATTTTTGGACTTTGTAGATGAGGGAAAAGGGAACATGGGAATAAGATATGGCTATTACATTATGAACAAACATTAAACCTTGAATTTCTAACTGTAATGGACAAATCTGACATTCCACAAATACAAAACTACTTTTTCACAATCAGTGAGGCAGTTCTGCAATAATTCTGATTTAATACAGGGTACTCTACTTAAATAAAAATAGTTGTACCTCATTAAACAAGGTGTGGCATTTTGCAGCACAACTAACAGAATAAGATTAAAAATTCCCATCAGTTGAATGATTTCTAATTGATTACATTTGGGAGGAACTTCAACAGCACAATGAAAGAAACTTCTTGATTTCTGCACGTAACTGTGCATTCATGTTCAGTTTTGAAGGGTAATGACAGGAACGCTGGCAGTTTTGCCAACATGACAATCATAAAATCTGACTATAATGAACAATTCAGCTGTATTTTCCTCATCAGAAAGTAGTGTACAACAATAATTCATATCTATACATAGAATACTCGAGGTATGATTATTCCCTGCCTGAAACGAAGGTGGTAAGAACGGTAAATAATTGGGTAGGTTGACTCCGGACAGATACTCAACCCATTCTCATTACCTGCACAATTAAGTGCTGAGCAAGTAGATCCACTGGGGACCTTCTCGATTCACCACCAATTGAGACCCTTTAAGTGACTAACAAATGGTCTCAAGTTAAGAACCTCTACTGGACAAGACCGTATTGCTAGTTTCCTGGCAGGCAATGAAATGCATCTCCATTGGAGCCAATTTGGCAAAAAGATGGATGCAAGGAGGCCGATGCTGAAGGTCAGGTGACATCCTTTCTCTGCCTCATCCCACCACATTCACCACCCCGGATCCCAAAAAAATCTCCATCTCGCGGGACATGGAAGAAGATGACCTACCATCTTGCTGTTTGATCCCCTAAAGCCTGGGCCTCTGGCAACAATCTTTAGGAACCTAAAGCTGTTGGCCTCTGATTGGTCAGCAGCTTCTAGGGTGTTGGGCTTTCATTAGTTAGGCTCGTGAATCACTGAGAAACTCAACAGTCAGATTTTAAGTGACTAACTGGAGATTTCACCAGTGACCTTTCTTTTTGCTAGGTTTGGGAGTTAGTGACCCATGAAGACATTCAACCCCATATTTAATGCATGGGGCACTAAATCTTGTTCATGGAAATAAATTATTCAATACAGCCAAGCTATTTCAGTATTAACCTTCCTTGCAAACATTGGTCTCAGTCTCAAGCATTATCCAATTTAATGTTGAATGTTCACACAGTTTCTCTCAAACAGTAACACAGGAATTGAGAGATAGCAAGAACTGCAGATGCTGGAGTCAGAGACAGCACAGTGTGGAACTGGAGGAACACAGCAGGCCAGGCAGCATCAAAGGATCAGGAAAGTTGACATTTCAGGTTGGGACCCTTCTTCAGAAATAGGGAGGGGAAAGGGAGCTCTGAAATAAATAGAGGGAGGAGAGGCTGGGCTGGGAAAATGTAGGTGGAATGGTGATAGGTGGATGCAGGTAGGGAGTGGTGGGGATTGGTCAGTGGGATGGGTGGGGTGGATAGGTGGGAGAGAAGATGGACAGGTTGTGTCAGGTCAAGGAGGCAGGAGGGAGGATAGGTGGGGCAGGGGAAAGGTAGGGGGGATGGTGATAGGTGGATGCAGATAGGGGGTAGTGGGGATTGGTCAGTGGGATGGGTAGGGTAGTTAGATGGGTAAGAAAATGCACAGGTTGTGTCAGGTCAAGGAGGTGGGAATGAGAAGGAGGTTTGGACATGGGACAAGGCCGGGAGTGGGGAGATTTTAAAACTGGTGAATTCCATGTTAAGGCCATTGGGCTGTAGGCTCCTGAGGCGGACTCTGAGGTATTGCTCCTCCAGTTTGTGTGTGGCGTCATTGTGGCACTGGAGGAGGCCCAGGATAGATATGTCATCAACAAAGTGGGAGGGGGAAGTTAAAATGGTTGGCGACCAGAAGGTGTTGTCAATTATCACATACAGAGCGCAGATGCTCCACAAAATGATCTCTGAATCTGCGCTTGGTCTCACCGATGTAGAAGTGGCTACATCGGGACCAATGGATACAGTAGGAGTTGAACTCTGTAGACCAAATGCAAATTTTTCTTCCTCTTTCATTCAGTAGATCTTGTACCATCATTGAATCCTCTTTGTAGATCATTTAGCTAGACGGAAGAACGTGCTTCACCCTATCTTGTCTAAATCCATTTATCATTTTGCACACATCTATCATTCCATACCATAATCTGCATTGGTTTTAAACAGACATTTTTTCATATCCTCTTTACATTAGTATTTCCTTTAACTAGACAGCATCCTTGAGAATTTTGCACACAGTAGTCTCTGATGTCTCACTGAGATTTTACATCGGCTTATTATTACCAGTATGTTTTATAT